TTGGTCTTCAGGTTAGTTGCTGCTGTCAAGTGAAAGTCATTCTTAAGCTAAATATGCCAGCAAACTTTTCTCTAGATATCAACCATCTTCTTCCTGAAATAGAATTTTTGGCATTCTTATGGCGAGAGGGGACAAGTAGAACTAGTAGTTCTACTCTACACATAATCCCAGGGCTTAGAGAAATTGTGTCTTGGAGACACCCCTATTGCTTCTGAAATCTTAGTTCAATTGGTGATGTCAAAACTTTAGATAGGGAGGACCTATGCATGTAGCGATACTGAGAAAATTAATAAATACCTAAGATTAATACAAGTTAATTCAAAATTGAAATAGGTCTAGCTATTTAGCCATTCTTGTAATGTGAAAGTATCTGGGAAGTTAAAAATCTAGATCCAGAAGAGACACAAGCTGTAAGCCACTACATTATTCAAAGAGTTTTTGGATTGTTTTATTGTGTTTTCATTCATGTCTCAGTTACTTTCTCATTGTTGGGACAAAATACCTGACACCCACAAACTAAAGGAGGAATGGTTTATTTTGTCTCACACTTTGTAGAGGTTTCAGTCCAATGTTGGGTGGTTCCAAGGGTAGAAGACAAGGCAGATGGGCATGAAGGGAAGAAACATGGCATGTGGACAGGAAGCAGAGCATGAAGAAAAGAGGAAGAAGGCCACACCAGTAGTGACCCATGCTCTCTGACTAGGCTTCACCTGCCAACATCACATAGAGCTTTAAAGTCATCAGTGTGATAATCCACTGATTAGCATCAACCCCTTTGATCCAATTACTACCAAAAGCCCCATTCATGAGGTACATGAGCCTTTGGGGGAACATCTCGATATAAACCATAATAATTTGCATTTATTGAACATATCTGCTTCAAGGAATTGCAGAGGGCACCGAAAGGCACGTAAATGAAAATTTTCTATGTTACATCAACAGCATTTAAATGTAAGATTTTCATTCTTATCTCCAATACAGTTGATTTTCTATCATTTTATAAAATAAGAATCATGGGCAGATTTTGCACATACTACCTCATTCCTAAGCTATTCCTAATGCTGATCCTTGAAAAAGAAAAATGAAATTCACACAACTTGGCAGGATTTTCTTTTTGACTCTCTCTAATTTTTTTGAGCCTCTCATAAATCATTTACTTTAAAAAAGTAATCAAAATTTTCTCTGATCAACATAAGTCTCACAATCCAATTTGCAAATTCTTCTTTTTTTATTGGAAAGTTAGAGCAGATTTGCTTCTAAAGAATTCTGGCATCTTTCCTCTGCTCCTTGACTTCTTAGACAGTATTAACTCTTTAAAAGCTAAAGAAAGCATCAGACATAGCTCTGCTGTTCAGCAGTCAGTGTAGCTGTTACTGGGACAGGTTGAGGGAGTGGGGTAAAATACAACTTCTCTATTTTCCCATGTATAAGAATGAATGTAACTAATCTAATTTTCCACTGTAATAATGAGTAATACAACAATATATTTTAAAAGTGTCTATAATTTACAAATGTTACACAACACCCAATTCTGTGCTCTGGAGTAATCATAACAGAAAATAAGAACAAAAATCTTCTCTAGAATCTCTGCTTTCTTCCATTTCCCCATGGCAACCCTATATGTGATATGACCCTTATTGTACTGATGATGGAACTAGACACTGTCCAAAGTCACACGGGCAAAAGCTGGGAACTCAATTCAGTCACAGATCTGATGTATGTATGTATGTATGTATGTATGTATGTATGTATGTATGTATGTACATATTGGTGCCAGGGATTGAACTCAGGACCTTGCACTTGCAAGGTATGTAGTGGAACCACTGAGCTAAATTCTTGGCCCTCACAGGCCTGATTCTAAAGTTTGGATCCCAAAATTCTCTGCCTCAAATTCTACTTCATATTCCCTCTCATACAATCAGAAGCTCAGATTCATTTAAACAGAAGCTGCCTCCAAAAGCTCTCACCTCTTATGAGTTGTTTCCAAACCTTTCTGTTGGTGGTTTTAAATTTCCAATATGAAAATCATCCCTACTTTCTGCAGAAGAACAGAAGCCACATATTTATTAGTCCCAAACTCTTATTTATCTGCTAACACTTTATAATCTGAAAGCAACAAGTCTCATTTATCCTTGTTTTTTAATTCTGCAAACAGAATTTCTAGATTTCACATTTGTTATGAGCCTCAACTTCTTTTACATTTATCCCCAGGTGAAAAGAACGACTGTATTAATTAGAAACTCTTGAATTGCTTAGTCCGTCAAGGAATTGAACACATATTCTAATCAAGAACATTTTGATATACAATTGTTATTTAGTTAATAAACCATCCTGTGAATGCCTTCCCAAGATTTTTCACACACACACACACACACACACACACACACACACACTTCTTTTTTTAATATATCGATATATGATAATAATATTAATTAGTAATTTTAATTATTAATTTTCTCCAATTTTTCCTTGTTAGATTTTATAAATTTGTCATGTCCTTGTACAAAATTAGTGATTTCACAAGTGAATGTTTGGGATCTTGAGCTGGATTAAAAATTACCAAAGATAGTAACAATGCCTTCTGAATTTGGTGCTTAATGATGTATGTGCTTTATTTCTTTGTAAATTAATTACATTTTAAATTCCCAATCTGTACTTCTTATGAAAGCATGACTGCTAATGATCAGTGGCATAGAAAGGGCACATACAAATGTAGCTTTGCAATAAAAACCGGGTATCATTACAGCTCACACAAAGCCACCACATTATGTCCACCATGGACCCTATTAAGGAACTCACATTTGCATTGCATTGTCATTTAAACATTGAAAAATTAATTGAGCCATTGACCCGAAGTTTGTATGACATGTTGGCCTTTCCATTTAAGTCAATGGAAAAAGGTTTCTTTGTTTTGTTTAGTTTTTTTTTCCATTAAGTTTATTGGTACATTTTAGGTATACAGTACAGTTACATTCATCATTGGGATCTTGTACCTTTGCATGATGTATCTTGGTTCTTATTTTTCCCCATTCCCCTGCCCTCCATTGACCCACTCTACCCTTCTCTATTTACAAAGACTTTATTTCCACTTTTTTCTCTTCCATTTTTTTCTTTCCCCTTCTTACCTTTCCTCTACCCCTCCCAGTTCCCCTACTCCTTCAGACCTTTTCTTCCTTTTGCACTGTATCAGTCATACATTTTGAACCTTTTTTACACATTTAGTTTTTCATACCAGAGAAATTATTCAGTATTTATACATGTGTGTCCTATTTATTTCACTCAAGAGTATAGCCTCAAGTGCATCCATTAGCTATAAATATCTCATTTCTCCTTCTTTTTTTCCCTCATTGAATTTATTGGTACATTAAAAGCAAACAATGCAGTTACATTTATCACTGGGATCCTGTACCTTTACATGATATGTCTTGGTTCTTATTTTTCCCCATATCCCTACCCTCCCTTCACACCACTCACCCTTCCCTATTTACAAAGACTTTGCTTATATTTTTCTTTTTTTTTCATATTTTTTCTTTTCTCTTATTTCCTTTCCCCTACCTTGCCACTTCCTCTTTAGCCATTTTTTTTTTTTTTTTTTTTTTTTTTTTTACTATTTCACACTAAAGTTTCTTTATGGATGAGTACTACTCCAATATATATATATCCCTTCTTTATGCAGTCTCCAGCTGATGCACAATTGGTCTGTTTCCAAGTTTTAGCTATTACAAACCGTGCCACTATAAACATGGGTGAGCATGTATCACTGTGGTATGATTCTTTTAATTCTTTTGGGAAGACACCCAGCAGAGAGATAGCTGGGTCAAATGGGACTTCCAGTCCTAGTTGTTTGAGGTATCCCATATTAATTTCCACAGTGGTTGCACCAGTCTGCACTCCCACCAACAATGACTTCAATATACTCTTTATAATTTGATTCCCAGAATATCTTTCTCTTTACCCTAACAATTTTCTATAATTTTTTTGTTTTTACAACATTTATATATTCTATCTCAAATCTTTTTGAAGTTAAATTAACTCTAGTCAGTAACTTTTAAAATTTTATAAATAGCTACATACTAACCCACCTAAAAATTCATACATTTATGTGATAGTAACCAACTTCTGGCAAAAAAAAAAAAACCTTGGAAAAATGTATTTGGAAAAAAATAATGCAAAAAATTAACATTCACTCAACATATAAAAAGATTATCATGGGGCAAGGGTTTTAGCTCAATGGCGCTGTGCCTGCCTCACAAGCATAGGGTCCTAAGTTTGATCTCAGGTATTAAAAAAAAAGTCATCATGTTTTCTTAGATTAGATTATAAGGAATTGTAATAAAAGTAAGGGATAGAAGGCACATTGAGGAAAACATATGTAAGGACTCATTCCCTGCTATTAATGGAACAATATAATTTCTAGTTCAAACTATAACATCTACTTTAAAATAGCTTTTCAAAAATAAGTATTCTGTAGCCAGAAATCTTCTCGCTCTTCTCAGAAATATATAAAATCCTAGGCACTAAGTATGAAATATTGTAATGATCAACCAGGAGATTTTTGTATAATTTTTCATGTTTTTTTGCACTTGAGAGTTAGTTGAAATAAATGACCCCACAAAATGACGTAGGAACTAACATGAGGTCCTTAAATTGAAAAAAATGTAATAATTCTCCAATTCTGTATATCCTTTCTCTAATCTTGTTAGTTGGGTTCATATAATTGAGACGCTAAAATTTACTTGAATACATTCCATTATAAAGACTTTGAAAAGACTTTGAGATAAATAGGAAAGCCTCAGTTCCCAAAATACTCATTCAGATTCAAATTAATTTCAAATATTAAATTGAAGCTAAAGTATAGTTTTTGAATCAGAGGGAAAACATTGGTAGGTATAAAAATTTGGGGTAAAGTTTTTTATAGAAACATTTAATTTAGGAATCATTGTTTTATGTTCAATATCTCTTTGATGCTGTCCTGACAATATTTTTATTCTTTTCTCAAGGTATCAGATACACACAGGTCTTCAACATTCTATCATAAGACCTACCCAACCCAACTGTTTACCTCTGGATAATGCAACCCTACCTCAGAAACTGAAAGAAGTTGGATATTCAACACATATGGTGGGAAAATGGCACTTAGGATTTTATAGGAAAGAATGCATGCCCACCAAGAGAGGGTTTGATACCTTTTTTGGTTCCCTTTTGGGAAGTGGTGATTACTATACACACTACAAATGTGACAGTCCAGGCATGTGTGGCTATGACTTGTATGAGAATGACAATGCTGCCTGGGACCATGACAATGGCATATACTCCACACAGATGTATACACAAAGAGTGCAGCAAATCCTAGCTTCTCATAACCCCACAGAGCCTTTATTTTTATATATTGCCTACCAAGCTGTCCACTCACCACTGCAAGCCCCAGGAAAGTACTTTGAACACTACCGATCCATTATCAACATAAACCGTCGCAGATATGCTGCCATGCTTTCCTGCTTGGATGAAGCGATTCACAATGTGACCCTGGCCCTGAAGGCATATGGTTTCTATAACAACAGCATTATCATTTACTCTTCAGATAATGGTGGCCAGCCTACTGCAGGAGGAAGTAATTGGCCTCTTAGAGGTAGCAAAGGAACATATTGGGAAGGGGGGATCCGAGCTGTTGGCTTTGTGCACAGCCCACTTCTGAAAAACAAGGGAACTGTATGTAAGGAACTCGTGCACATCACCGACTGGTACCCCACTTTAATTTCACTGGCTGAAGGACAGATTGATGAAGACACTGAACTCGATGGCTACGATGTTTGGGAGACCATTAGTGAAGGCCTTCGTTCGCCCCGAGTGGATATTTTGCATAACATTGACCCCATTTATACCAAGGCAAAAAATGGATCCTGGGCAGCAGGTTATGGGATCTGGAACACAGCGATCCAGTCAGCCATCAGGGTGCAGCACTGGAAGCTTCTCACAGGAAACCCTGGCTACAGTGACTGGGTTCCCCCTCAGTCTTTCAGCAACCTGGGGCCAAATAGGTGGCACAATGAACGGATTACCTTGTCGACTGGCAAGAGCATATGGCTTTTCAACATCACAGCTGACCCATACGAGAGGGTAGACCTCTCCAGCAGATACCCAGGCATCGTGAAGAAGCTCCTGAAGAGGCTTTCCCAGTTCAACAAGACTGCAGTGCCTGTTAGATACCCACCCAAAGACCCCAGGAGTAACCCTCGGCTTAATGGAGGAGTCTGGGGACCATGGTACAAAGAGGAAAACAAGAAAAAGAAAGCAAACAAAAATAAAGCAGAGAAAAAGAAAAAGAAAAGTAAGACCAAGAAGAAGAAACAGCCAAAAGTGCGCTCATCCCCAAATTGCCATTCAGGTATTACTCCTGGTTAAGTAAGTACGAGTGTTTTTCTATTTAGTTAAATAGTTTAGCATAGAAACCCAGTCTTACACCTGTTTCCTAAGTAAATCAGCAAATTTTGCTCAGAAATATCACTGCCATAGGATTGGGCTTGTATTCATGCTGTGCCCCAGACTTCAGCCACCTGGCTGCCACCTGGAAACGGTGCTGCATGGTACCAAAGGTGCTGCTTCTGGAAATCACACTCAGAGGAGACTGGAGGTGTTGACTCGTCTTTGTCCTTTTAAAGGGTGGTCAGTCATGGTCTTCACTGCTGTGTTTCTTTCAACTGACCAAACACTACGCTCAGTTATGAAAGGAGACTTAGCTTGCCAGTGATGAGAATGCTAATCTAATAGACATTACAGGGTCCTATGATCAAAAACTACTTTTCATATAGTTAAAGGTTGTGTCACCTGAATGGCCTTGAAAAATATTTTTTCTCAGTGAATTTTTGTATCTTTCATATGACACTTGGGTTTTTAAATTAATTATATTTCATGTATAATTTCCTTTCCTGTGAAAATAAGCTGTTTTTTTCACGTATGAACAGCCTGCACCTCACTTTATCATGCATGAGGGAAAGACAAATAAGAATGCTTGAGCACACTGCCAAAAATGAATGTAACTGTTTCTAAACACTTTAATAAAGTAACATTTCAATATAAAATATATAATTTATTTTTATGGCAAAAATATTGTTTTCATAAAAAGTCACCCAAATGACTTTATTTTATTTTTATTTTCTATGTACATTTATAAGAATTTTATTTCATTTCTTTAAGATTACCAAGCACTGTAATATAATTACTATATTGTATAAATTTATAGAATATAAAAAGAAAATTGTTCCAAAAATGATAATCATTGTTCAACTATTATTTTGAATGTAATGCAATGAGTATATTCATTAAAAATTACTTGGAAATTCAGTGTTTGTGTAGAATTTATACAACTTTATTGTTTCTACCATAAACTATATATATTAATTATTAAAATGATCCATTTTATAGCACCAGCAAACATAGTATGGCTTTTCTGATCTAACTGCTCAACTTCTAGACAAAGTTATATTATTTACTACAGCAAGTAAAAATCTTGACAAATAAACAATTGAAGTTATGGTTTGCTAACACAGTAACATAACGGGAATTTTTACAAATAGATATTTCTACCTGGCTACTGCATCGAGGATAAGTCATAGCATTTATAATGGCACTGCTTTTATACATAGTAGACACAGTGAGGAGACAGAAACAGAAGATACAAATCCTGTCTGGAGTAGTAAAAATCTAGTGTAGAACTCATACATGAAAATGTTATGAGGAAGAGTGAAAGGATGATCCATAATAATTTATCAGGGGCCATTGCTAAACATAAATGAGCAAGTTTGGGGCCTGGGCTTGTCTTTGTTTTTCCTGCTGAATGCAGAATACTCTCAAACACATCTGAAAAGTTAAAGACAGCAAGGACTGTGGTCCATGAAATTACAACTGTGATAAGAAAATGTACATGGCCATGTGGCAGTGAACCATTACATGTACACATATATTAGATCTCAAAGGACTGTTCATCATAGTTCCTGGAAAACTATGAAAGAGCCTGTAACTTTTACTTAAATTATTACCTGAAATGGGCAAAATTATTTTTTAAATTTTTATATTTTATTTGCAGAATATATAGCTCCATTTTATCACATAGTATTAAATAGCATTTTCTGAAATTTAGTCTTAAAGGAATGTGGTCACTGTTTTCCTTTCTCGGTGGCATATAAAATAATTCTGTGACTTGCAATAAATTATATATATTCAGAAAGACTCACCATTACACTAAAAAAGAATTCTGAAGGAAAATAAATTTAAGAAATATTCTTGTAAGCAAAGTTGAAGGCATCACTTTAATACAAACTTTCTTAGACATTTAAAAATCCTGGTTATCATTACAACTTTCTGACAGAAGGGAAACACTATACACTATACACTATATTCTGACTTACTTCATCATAAAAGTTTTTAGTAGCTCATTGCATTGGACTAGGATTCTAAGGAATATACTGAAAATTGTTAGTGTAAATGTATAATATTGCAAGCCCCCCAAAATCAAAAGACAGATGGGCAAATTAAGTTTAGGAAAACTAATTCTAAGTCACATTGGAATCCAGTAGGTTTTACCTATTGTAATGGGATTTTTAGGCTCTCTATAAAGGTCCATAACTTCCTCAGTGGAAATAAATTAGCCTACTGCTTTCTACTTGGAAATTTCCTTAGGGATACTGATCAATGTTTGAAAAGCATAGCTTCCACCTGTGCACAGCTCTGGGTGGGTTGTGATTTAAGTCTCGCTGCCTTGCTCTTTACAAAACTAAAATCTAATAAAACAGCCATGCACAAATAATGAACAAAAATGTTTCCAAAATGCTTCAGCAAATCACTCAATATTTCAAGATAGCCCAGGAAGAAAACACTATGCACTTGATTTTTATACCCTAATGAACAATGTTGCTAATGAACATGTTACCATTAGACATTTATTCTCAGATTTCCTTCTGTTAAATTCTGTGCTTGTGTCAGTGGTGTTCTCAAGCATAAACTATACCTTTTTAGGATTCTGACATTTTTCTTAGAATAACAAAAGAAATCCCCACCATGTTTATCAGAAAACAATGGTGAATGTGGTTATGTATCTGGGATGAGAAAGGACAAAAATATTTTCTTCAAATAAAAATAAAATCCACATTTTTGGTGCCTGCCAACCAGTGAAAACATTTGCCCTTGGTCTGTCAAGTCTACTTAAGTTATTTTATCTATATTTACTTATCCTTTCCTATTTTTTCCAAAAATGTGTGAATATTATAGTTTTCTTGGCCAGAACCAATCTCAAGAACAAAGGGGAAGTTAGGTCATTAGTAGTTAACTATATAATTAATATACTTTATTATTTGATTTTTCCAAACTATCAGAATTTGGTGTCTAGATTAAGTTCCTAAGTGTTTATTTATGGCATTCTTAAGCACACAAATTGTGAATTTTTGAGTAACAGTCAGAATATGTATTGTTGACAGAGAAAAAGTTGACTTGCTAAAAGCAATACATTAAATTTATATTATAAAATGCATTCCTTCATTCAGCAACTATTTATTAAAGCTTATTATCTTTAAGAATTGGTATTCTAGGTGCATGAGTGAACAAAACATAAAAATGCTCATTCTGGTGTAGGTTAATTTCTAGCTGGATGAGGTAAATGATCAAAAGCAAACTGAGTAAAAAGTAAGTTATATCCTTTATAAAGCATTGTGAGAAAAGAAAGAGTGCATCAGTTTAAATGGAAGCTTTACTTGACACTAGGTTTACCCATCCATTGGCTCAGCATTTGTTAAGGAGGCACTTGAAAGGACACACAGGGGTGTAAAGGTGTAAAATCATATTCTCTTCATAGATTTCTCTTGCACTTTCTCTGCCTCTCTCTATGCATATAATTTTTAAATTATGTTGTTACATTTAAGGTATAAAATGTAATGACATTCATCACTAGGAATTTGCACCTTTACATAATCCATTTTATATTTCCCCATTCCCCTGCCCTTCCTTCAACCCCTCTACCCATCCCTATCTACAAAGACTGTTTCCAATTTTTTCTTTATCTCATGTTAATTCCATTCCCATCTTTCTTTCCCCTACCCCTCCCACTTCCTCTTCCCCTTTACACCTTTTCTTCCTATTTCACATTATCTATTTTACCTTTTAGTCCTTACTTTCACTTTCAGTTTCTCACACTAGAGAAACTATTTGGCATTTACATATGTGTGTCCTATTTATTTCACTTAAAATTATCACCTCAATATGCATCCATTTAAATATAAATGTCTAATTTCTCATTCCTTATGGCTCAGCAGTACTCTATTTTATTTTTAAAAAACACGTTTCCTTTATTCAGCCTGCTGTTGATGGGTAGTTTGACTGCTTCCAAATTTTAGCTATCACAAATTGTGCTGCTATGAACATGGATGCACATATATCACTGTGGTGTGATTCTTTTAATTCTTTGGGGAAGATACCCAAAGGGAGAAAGCTGGGTCAAATGAGACCTCCAATCCTAGTCCTTTGAGGTATCTCCATACTGATTTCCACAGTGGTTTCACCAAGCTACACTCCCACCAGCAGTGGAGCAGGGTACCTCTTTCCCCACATCCACACCAGCATTTGTTATTGGTTGATTTCATTATAGCAGCCATTCTTTCTGTGGTGAGGTGGAATCTCGGTATTGTTTCATTTGCACTTCTCAAATGACCAGTGATGTTGCACATTTTTTTCATATCTTTATTTGCTATTTTCCTACTTCTTTGTCTGAGAAATGTCTATTTAGTTCAGATGCCATTTTTGGACTGGATCTTTAAATTTGGGAGGTCTGATTTTTTTTAAGTTCTTGGATAAACTAGATAGTAGACCTTTGTCAGGAACATCTGGTAAAAAGTTTTTCCCACATTGTGGGCTGTCTCTTCACACTGTTGGTGGTTTCTTTTGCTATGCAGAAGCTTTTTAATAAGAAGAGATCATAATTGATGACTGTGCTAGTTCATGAGAAACTGAGGTTTTCTTAAAATCTTTTCCACAGCAATGTCTTCAAAAGTTCTACCAAATCTCTTCCAGTCAGTTTACTGTTTCTGTTTTGATATTTAGATCCATAATCCATTTTGATTTTAATTTAGACCATGGTGAGAGATATAGGTCGAGTTTTAAACTTTGGCAAGTTGAAACTCAGTTTTTTCAGCACCATTTATTAAAGAGGCTATCTCTCCTTCAATGAGGGTGTTTGGCTCCTTTGTTGAAGATGAGGTGGCTTAGTGTGTCTGGAGTTGTTTCCGTATCTTCTAATGTATTACACTGGTCCTCAGGTCTGTTTATTTGCCAGTACCATGCTGTTTTTATCACAGTAGCCTTGTACTATTGCTTCAAGTCAGGGATTGTGATATACCCTGCCCTGTCTTTATTGCCTAAAACTGCTTTGGCTATTCTAGGTCACTTCTTTCAAATGAATTTTTAGATTGTTATCTCAAGGTCTGTGAAATATGCCTCTGGGATTTCAATTGGTATTGTATTGAATCTATATAGCAGTTTTGGAAGTATGGCTATTTTCACTATGTTGATTTTTCTTACCCAGGAGCAAGGGATGTCTTTCTATTTTCTGATACCTTCTTCAATCTCTCTTTTTTTTTTCCAGAGTGCTGTAGTTTTCAGAACAGAGGTCTTTGATTTCTTTCCTTAGATGTATTCCTAGGTATTTCAATTTTTTGGATGCTATTGTGAAAGGAATTGATTACCCCCTTTCTCTATCAGTGAGTCTGTTTTCTATGTATGGGAAAGCTATTACTGTGTATTGACCATGTATTCAGTTACTTTACTGAATTCAGTTATGTCTAGAAGACTTTTGGTGGACTTTTTGGGGTCTTCTAAATATAGTATCATATCAACTGCAAATAATGACAATTTGACTTCTCCCTTTCTTACCTTTATTCCTTTTATTTTTTTGTCTTGTCTAATTGCTGTGGCTAATGTTTCTAAAACCATATTGAACAGTAGTGGTGACAGCAGACATCCTTGTCTTGTTCCTGATTGCATGTGAAAATTTTCAGTTTTTGACCATTTAGTATGATACTAGCTGTTGGTCTTTCAT